TCCATTTCTCTTCTTCTTCCTTTTCCCTCTCTTCCCCCTTATTCCAAATTAAGTCCATAACAAAAATTTTGATAAATCGCACTCCAAAACTCCATTTTAAACCGCCATATTTGTCTATTCTTCAGTTTTTCACTATTAATCACACTTCAAAGTTCCGTATTAGAGAAAAGTCTACATCCATTATCATTAAAACAAACCCATCGGATCAAGGAAGATGGAAAAATCAGGTCTGATTTTGTAGTATGAATGGGTCAAAAGAAATTGAAAAGCAAATAGCGTTCGCTGCTTTCTGATTTACTGAAATTATTTGCTGATTTTTGGGAGAAATCGGGTCTTATTTCGATCAAGGTAAAAGTTGTTCACTGCTTCATGATTTTTGTCTTTGATCTTTGGAGATGGTGATTTTTGTCTTTGAGTTTTGATGATTTTTTCTTCACAATTTTTTGTGGTAAAAGGTTTTGCAGATAGTTCATATTTTCTTGGTGAGAAGATGATAAATAATGAAAGTGAAAGGTCTTGGGTGGGAGAGAAAAAAGACAATCGCCGAAAATATTTGACCGGTTGCCGATGATAAAATCTTAAGGTTTTCAATTTGATTCCCAGTTCGGGAAAGTTTTTCCCGGCGGGTTCTGAGGGAGTGGAAGGGACATGTGTAGAAAAAATTAATTTGGTAAATAAAAAAAATAAAAAAAAGTGGGACCTTGAATATACATGTGTCAACAAAATGTGAATGAATGGATGATGTGAATACAAAATATTAAATTAAATCCATCTCAGCAACAATTGAACAACACGCACCATCACAAGTGTTTATTAGTAGTCATTTTCTCAAGTAAAGATGTTCAAATGGGAAACCCAAGAGTTCATATATCAGGTTAATAAACTGGTACAAGTTTAAGTGGCCAGGAGATCATTTCGCCTTTCTTATATGTCACTTCAATAATTATGTCAATCAAAATTTAATAACAAGGTCTCAAAAAGTCGAGGCACATGAAACAGAATAACAGATGGACAGAGGGATTAAACAATAACACAATTGGAAAGAAAGTGATAAATAAATTATTAACTTCTATCTTTGACATTCGCTCTTTTCTAGCACGAATAATTTGAAACTTATTTGTCTAAAGCGAAACTTATTTGTCTAAAGCGAGGGTACAATATTCCGAGGCAACGTGTATCAGTGGCGGACCCAGAATTTTGTACAAGCGGGTTCAATCAAAGAACACGGTAATCGAGTGCAGCGGTAAATACAATTTGTGTACAGCTCTTTTTTGTTCATCAGATCACTTCAAAATAGTCATTTATTTTTTGTTAAAAAAAAGGTAAGGTTGGGAGAAATTTTAAAAAAATAACAAAGAAAATTTCGTCCTTTAATTTATCTATATAAATTAATAAATTTTATTTCAGAAAATTTAGCAATTTTAACCAAAAGTATTTCACCTACTTAAAAATCATATTATAACTCTAAGAAATTTAACATACAAAATTGTTACAAACAAAAGACACGGGAAAAAAGACTTACAAACTAAACTAATTTATACAAATTATTAAAGAAAAAGATATTTACACCAAACTAAAATTTTGAGTATAACACAAATTAACAATTCAATATAAACTAAACCAAACTAAATTAAAAGATTATAAGTAATTTCGATAAAGCAGTAGAACAAAAATTCACTTTGTACAAAGGTTTAAAAAAAATTAAGTAAAATGGAGGAGTTTAATAAGAATCAGTTTTATTGGATTTAAATAAAGAAAAAAATAATATAGAGAAGTAAGAAAACAAAGAGTCAAAGACAAAATAGGAAACATAAAGCCCTAACAATAGGCAAAATAATATATACGTTTAGCAAAAACTGCATACTTAGTTCGCTGCTTTTGTAGAAGTTCGAACTTGCAAACCTAGGCCTTAATTACTTTGAACCCACTTGCCACTGCTCTACAGCTTCTGTTACTGTTAAGTGGGTTCAAATATTATAATATTTACTAGTTTCATAATTTTCTGATGAAATTCCAAGGTAAAAATAGTTAATTTTTCCAATGAAGCGGGTTCAACTGAACCCCCTTCCTACCAGGTGGGTCCGCCCCTAACGTGTATGCCGGATTTCCGAAAAACACAAGAATAAAATAGACACAAAAAGAAAACAAGTCTACACTGGAAGCTTGCGAAGAACTGAGATACAGGAAATAGGGGTGCACAAACCGAACAGGAAAACCGCACCAAACCGAAAAGTCAAACCAAATCGAATAAAAAACCCGACTAGGTTTGATTTGATTTGATTTGGTATTGAGTAAAAAAATCCGAATCAAACCGACATATAAATATATAATTTTTATATATACTTTTAAGATTTTATATAGAATTTTCTTTAAAAAAATGTCTAGAAATATTTGGGATTCTCTTACGGGATATAATATTTAATAAAATATGAAGTGCTCCATATTTATTTACCTTAATTAATGGATTGTATGATCACTTTCTTATCAAATGTTACTGAAATGCGTCAATCTCTTTGTTCTTCCATATTCATATACCAAGATCTATTAAATTCTTATATCTTTTTCGAATTTGAAGTAGTTATTATTATTTAGGTATCATATTGATTTTTATGTTCAATTACTAAATTCGGTTAACCTTGAAAGTGTACATCAACGAAAAATATTGTCAGACGACTAAAAAAATAACTATCATGTGTTACTAAGTAGATTCTCTCATAAGAATATTTAATAGATAATATGTTTGTCAATTTTTTTAATTTTTACTAAACCTATATTTACTTTAAAAAAATTTAATAAAGTAAGATTGAAATAATACTTAAGTAACAAAAAACCCGCCAAAACCAAACCAATCCAAACGATATAGTTGGTTTGGTTTGATTTTGACAAAAATCGAACCAACCTGGTCCATGTACAGACCTACAGGAAATATTTGATTTTCTTTAGTTCTCTTACGAGAAGGAAAAGTGTATAATACCTAGTACTTTTCTTCCTCACATGAGAAGAAAAATGTTGAATACGTAGCATTTTTCTTCCCCACTTCCTACCCGAACCATTGAGAAGATAATAAGGAAAATAACTTTTCATAAGCTTCCGTTTCAATTTTCTCTCCTGAACATCTTTTCTTATTCAGAGTTAAATCAAACGCTCTTTCAACCTTAGACAAATAGACACTACTCAATGTTTCCAATTCACGGTGTGTGGTAGGAAAGGAAGGTCTCAGACATAATTTTAGGTCATCTAACCATTAAGTATATATAAATGGAGTGCAGCTTCCACCAAAAAAAAAAGGTTCAAAACACAAATCTAATCAGCAAGCCAAACTCTATATGATGATGAAAGTAGAGGTCAAGATGGGGCTACTATGGTGTGTTGTAGTAGCCTGGATAATGGAGGTGATGTTGGTAGGACAGGGTGTAACTGGAGATGACAGTGGTGGATCATATTGATCTTCCTACTCAAATCCTTAGGGAGGAGAGTAGGAAGTTATTTTTTACCAACAATGTTTGCCTTTTTGCAGGTACCTATCTAGGGTCTGGATCATATGCTTTGGCCAAACCTAATAGGGTGGTATTAGTATCTATGATGCTCGTTCCCGTTAGGACTAACCAAGGCATAGACCAGCCCTCTCACATTGCTCTTTGCACCAAGGAGAAGGTACAAACATGGCATGCACACTGGATATATGCTAATTGCTAAATCACTCCACATAGAGCCCTACTGGAAATGCTCAATAAGGAGGCTGGATATGGTAAGCTCTATACGATTCGGTGATATTCATTGCACGTTGGAAGTATTATACTCAATGTTGAAGCTAAGGAACTGGTCTCTAAGAAGCAAGACAATGCAAGACAGATTTTGCTTTGGGAAACTATGGCAACTTAGGGTGACTTGGTGATAATTTGTGTTATTAATATGTACCCTACAATGTACTATAACTTCATTGATGTGTTGATGCTAAGGAACTGCCCAGATTTTGCAATTGTGACCACAAAACTCTACAGTTGTGTGCTACTTCTAGCTATGTCCAAGTGTAAAGGGGAAAGAAATGCAAAGATCTACATAAGGAAGAATATGCATTACACAGGCTCTTGGGTTAGAGGTGAGAAAGCTTGGAGGTTCCAACACCTGATAGAGATGCATCTAGATGGCCAGAAGTTGAAGAAGTTGAAGCAAGGATCAATGTCTCACTTTGTATTTCATACATTTTGCAATATCAACTTAAGACGACTTGCCTCTAAGTTGATATTAGTTTTTATCATTCTAGCAAGTTCTTACTTCTTTCACATTGTAAGACATTACTAATAAAAAAAACCACTAAGCTAGGTATATTAGCTTAACAAAAAAAAATCAGCAAGCCATAACGGCACACAATTTTGTTGTCGTTTAGATTGGCATGAACTCAATAATCTCCATTTACTTAAGGAAGAAAAACTTAGGTGTTAGAAAGGATCAGAAGTTAGTTCATCAACGAACAGTTCATTTCACTCCAAGTATCTCCATTTGACCGAGGTGCACTCACCTAACCCATTCTATGGATTAGAACACGTGGAGGTGCGAACTTGCTAAATGCATACTGTACATATTTGCTATTATAATCCTTTCCTCAAGCTATTGAACCCTAGAATTCTGTGTCAAAGCAAGCCATCATCACTTTGGAGACCATGGACCTTGCAAAAGGTACATAGCTCAAGCTATACCTGTAATGCAACAAAAACAGAAAATATTTAGAATTTGGCAACTAGCTTAAAAGGATAACAATGTCAAGTAGACGCGGATCAAGAACAAGATAGCAAAAAAGGAGAAGCTTCCTATTTATAAGCTAGTGGTCCTATTGCCCTACGTTTGAGCCAAATGCAAGAGCTGATAAAGAGATTATTACCAGTGTGTGATACACACAAGGGCATTACTTGTTCATCAACAAAGGTACATCTAATTAGCAGTTGACAAGGTCGAAGTTATTCTATCTAGTTTCTTTATAGATAATTTGGATGACCGAAATAAAAAGAAAAATGGGGTTGCTCTCTCGGCAAACTGGGATAAAGTTGAGCCAAAAGATCTCGATTCAAGATATATCTTCTGACATTCTAGTTTATCCAAGTTCTCTAAACTATTAAAGCGAAAAGAGTATCCAATTTCGGACTTGTTTAACGGGAAAAAAACTTGTCAGGAAATATTTGTCTCAAGTGCTCTACTGGACAAGTTCTCCGCTATTTCAGAATTTATATTTGATACCAGAATCCAAAAGGAGAAAGTTTTGCTGCTGAGCCTGGTTGTACTTAATTTCACCTATCCCAACCACAAAGTTTCTTATCTTCCTATGTCACCATCCCCCAATCCGTGTTTATAAGACTGAACCAGTGTGTGACTACAGTCAGACATACCAAATAAGTGCACCAAACTCCAATACAATTGCCAAGAGTGTAAGTAGCTTGTTCCGCACCTGAAGCAAGCAAATGTAGATGAGACAGAGAATGGCAAAGTCTGCAGAAAGCCAAGATGAAAAGAAACTAAAAACATGACTTATACAGTAACTCACATATAGAGCAGAAAACAGAGCAATGATAATGCTTGCTAGATAAATAGCAGTTGCATATAAGCGAACTGGGTCAAGCATCATTGTCACTTGTCGTTTAGGCCCTATAAGAAATGCTGTGCTGCCACAGAAAAATAATCCAAGTGAAAAGATGAAATACAAAAATGGTAGTAAGTGTGGGAATGCACAGGAGAAAAATCTATTATTGAATAACAATGATACAATGAGTCCTATATATAATACATATTCTACTCCTACTACATATGGGACTAGGACATATTCTATTCCTACTACATATGGGACTAGGATTATTTACACATAACTATCTAACACTCCCCTCAGCCCGGTGCATACAAATCATATGTACCGAGCTTGTAACATAAAGTGACTGCGCGAGCAACATACAAGGCCACTAGACTTCCCCTGAGCAACAAAACCAGGTGGTTGCTGAGAAGTTGGCCGAAAAATCGCCGGAGAAATTTGAAAATAGTGAGACTAAGCCGAATTCCACACTTCAAAATAGGTTCTAAAGCACCACCAGAAAACAAAAACTTTTCTGGAAATCACTGTTCACGCCGGAAAGTGCATTGCTCACGCCGGAAAAAAATAAAATTTGTCATAATTTGATGTAATTTATATGGGTAGGCTCGGAATCACTGGACGAGTAAGTTGTCCTGAAGAAGTTGTCAAAAAGTGGCCTAACACGCGCTGAAAAAATTATTGTAGCTCGCCGGCAAATTCAAAAGTTCTCGGAATCTGTAGGAAATTGTACTGGTGGACTCGGAACTACCCCACGAAACAACTGTCCTAAAGAAATTTTTGAAAATTCTGGCTGGAAAGTGCTCCACGCGCCGGCGCATGTGTGAGACGCGCTCGCCGGAACCCTAGTTCTAGCAGTGCGTAGAGGCACGTGAGGGACTTTCTGCCGGAGCAATTGACTGGGGTGTTGTCGCCTGACTTTTCCGAACAAGATGGCAGTGTTGGTTTTCGCACAACACTTACCGATGAGGAGATAACGCAAATCAATCTTGAGTCGTCAACCGGAAAGACGCGCGGTGACTAACTTTTCTGTTCCAATGGGATTGGGATTTCTGAGGTTTGGTCGCACAAGAGTTTCGGATCTAATGGTGGTACTGGTATATGCACAGTGGGGTACTGTAGCAATAATGAACCCTGAGAACAAGACGAAATTGCCGATTAAGGGCCAAATAAGAAAGTTCGTATCTTGGGGAGACTAATGTAATTTTGAGAGACCAAGATCTATTCTATACATATCCTAAAACAAGGAGGTGATGTGTTGCAAATTTTTCAAACTCCTTACATTTGAGTTATTAGATCTTTAAGATTAATTTGCAGCCATTGGATACATGGGTACAACTTTTCTACCCCTTTTGAGTCGCTACCCATGTCGAACAGTCTCTCCAATTTCCTAAACTCATCATCTTCTTCAAATTTCATTTCATATCCTCCGTTGAAGAGCTCAACACTATATCAATACCATTCTCTTACTCTTATCTAAACCCAAATTTTATTGCATATAACCTTTTCTCTCTACCTATTTAAAGTTTTTTTGAATTTTGTTTTGAAGAATCAAGATGGATTAAGGATTATTTTGAAGCCCCAGATTTGGCTAGAGAGAAACTTCCTCTCTTCCATTCATCTTGCATGCACCTATTTGAGTTCTCTAAGGCACTCTAAAAGATCAATGAAGAAAAATACTTTTTGATGGTGTAGACTAAAAACCATAGCAAAGATAGATCTCTTCTCTTGTGGTAAACTTCCTGATAAAATAGTTAAGATTTTAGTTAATAAACTAGAGACATTGAGAACTAAGAATTCATCTCGTTTTTTACTGTAAAACATTTAGCAAGTTGACAATAACTTTCTTTCTTGAACTCGGATTGACATGATTCAAAATTCATCAGAAAACTAAGACATACTTTTGTGAAGACCAAAGGATCTAATTCTGATGTTTACTGTGTAAAATAGACTAACGCTCGGCATAGATGCTGCCTAGATTTTTTGGCAATAAGAACTAGGAATAGTTTTGACCTACCGAGAGGTTTTTCCCTTGGCTTGTGGATACGCACAACACAATGCTTTGGAAGCTTTTTCATTTACTTCATGTAATAGTTAGCATACTCATTGTAGTTAGTTGTAGTGCTACTCCTCTTAGTTTTGGTTTTGGACAAGTTGTGAACATTGGATCCGATTTTGGATTTATATATATATATATATATATAGTAACCACTAGGCACCCTGCCTAGTGGTATATTTGCTAATAAAAAAAATAAAAAATAAAAAAATAAAAAAAGTATCACCTATATGGATTTTTTTCTTCTATTGTACCCTATTTTTAGCTAAATCTGCATTGATTCCAAATTATTTTATTAAAAAAATAGAAGTCAATGCTTTTCACACTTATCATTTGGGAAGTATATAGGTCCTCAATACCAGAAAAACAAACAGCTTGAGGTAAAATGAAATTGCTGTAAAGCTGCAGGGATCCAAAACCAATAGAATTAACACCAATAAAGCAAGGCAACAATATCCAATTTTTTATGTCTTCAAACTAAAAGAGAGCAAGTATCTGCTTGTCACGGAAATAAGAAAAAATCGGCCATAGAAATCTAAAAACACACCCTAGTTATACAATCTTCCCATGCCCTTATCAAAGCCACAAGTTCAGTACCCACGGGAAAAGCTCAATACTATCATAGCACCAAGGGAAACCAAAAACAACACTTATTAAGATCAGTGCCCAAAAGCCAGATATCTCACCAAAAGGATCCCACTAAGAGGTAACATGGGAATTGATTCAAATGGCCTGGTTTCATGATTAAAAACTGCAATAATCTATCATTTTGAACAATAGTAATCATTAGGGTTAACAAAGAAAACAAGATATTTCATTACACATCAAACAACAATACCATTGTGTCAAATCTTAGTTGGATCGATTATCCAATGATCAATGGGTTCCAAATTTAAACGATATCTAGTATAAACGGGAAACATTGGCGAAGCAAATTCCCAAAGGAAAAATGTTATTCATAAAAATAAAATTATGAAAACATGTTTCATATAAAAGAAAGAGAATCTTATAACAGACCTTCCAAGTGCAAGCAAATTACCAAAGGAAAATGTTATTCCAAACTTGATCGGGTTGAAGAAAACCAGCATTGACTGTCATAAAGAGAAGAATGACATCTACATGAGATCTTATGCCCATCCACGAAAGAGATCACTGTAAAACTGAAAATGATTATACTATATAAAAAGATTTTAGACTGTCCAAGAAAATAAGTTAGCAAGGGAACACTTCACAGAAGAACAAAAGAAGAACTAACGAGCTACATATAAAGAACATTCATTGTATGTTATTCAACACAAAATCCTTAACGATTAGATGTCTTAACTTTAAGCATTAGTTCTGAACAAATTTGTCTACAAGAAATCATTGCTGGTGCACGCAATACATGCTATAATAATACATCCTATAATTTATCACCAAAAGACTCAATTGCAAATTGTTACCTTTCAAAAGAAATATAATTTGTTAACAACAACAACAACAACAAAAACGACCCAGTAAAATCCCACAAAATGGGGTATAGGGAGGGTAGTGTGTACACATACCTTACCCCTACCCCTATAGGGCAGAGAGGCCGTTTCCGATAGACCATCGGCTCAAGAAGACGGAAAGAAAACGAGAAGAGACAATATAACAGTATCGTCAACAGAAACCATATAAATAGTAACAGCATCATAAAAACATAAAATAGATGACATGCAATAACAATAACCAGTAATTAATGCCCGGAGCTATGAAAAACAGAAGGATAGCGTGGACACAACATTAACCACTAGCCGTCTAAGATCAACCCTATCAAACCAATCTCACCCCCGATATGAAGTAGAAAAAAAGCTCGACTATCTCCTAGCCTACAACCCTAATGCTCGACCTCCACACCTTCCTATCAAGGGCCATGTCCTCGAAAATCTGCAGTCGTGCCATGTCCTGCCTGATCACCTCTCCCCTATACTTCTTAGGCCACCCTCTACCTCTTCTCGTACCCACCAAAGCCAACCGCTCACACCTCCTCACCGGAGCATCAAGGCCTCTCCTCCGCACGTGCCCGAACCATCTAAGCCTCGCTTCCCGCATCTTGTCATCCGCAGGGGTCACGCCCACCTTCTCCCGAATATCTTCATTCATAATCTTATCCATCCTAGTGTACCCGCACATCCAACTCAACATACTTATCTCTGCTACCTTCATCTTCTGGGTATGAGAGTTCTTAACCGGCCAACACTCTGCCCCATACAACAAGGCCGGTCTAACCACTGCTCTATAAAACCTACCTTTGAGTATCGGTGGCACTTGTCACACAGGACTCCAGATGCTAGCCTCCATTTCATCCACCCCACCCTTATACGGTGTGTGACGTCCTCATCGATCTCTCCGTCCCCATGTATAACCGACCCAAGGTACTTGAAACTACCTCTCTTGGGGATGACCTGTGATCCAAGCCTCACGTCCATGCCCACTTCCCTCGACTCGGTGCTGAACTTGCACTCCAGGTATTCTGTCTTGGTCCTGCTCAACTTGAAACCCTTAGACTCGAGGGCCTGTCTTCATACCTCCAACCTCTCGTTAACACCGCCTCGCGTCTCATCAATCAGAACTATGTCATCAGCGAATAACATACACCATGACACCTCCCCTTGAATATGGTGTGGCAGTCTACGGCAAATAAGAACGGGCTAAGCGCAGATCCTTGGTGTAACCCCATAATAACCGGAAAATACTCTGAGTCGCCTCCCACAGTCCTAACCCGAGTCTTAGCTCCATCATACATGTCCTTGATCGCTCTAATGTAAGTAACCGGCACACCCTTTGCCTCCAGACATCTCCAGAGCACCTCTCGAGGGACCTTGTCATACGCAAGAAATACATTGGTCAAGGACATAAGTCCTCAGCATTAATATGAAAAGGTTGCAAAAGAAAAAGCTAGCCCCCTTCACTACTATAATACATTTGAAAAGCACCAAATCCAGAAACCCTCCTAAGCTTAATACTACCAAGAAATAAACTCATTCTAGTTCCACAAAAAACATAAGAAATGGTATATGCCAATAGATTCTTGTCTTCAATAGGGGAACCACGACGCATCCACTAATGCTTGCATTAGGGTGGGCTATCTACATCACACTCCTAGGGCTGCAACCCTTCCCCCACGTGAATGTGGGATGCTTTATGTACCGGGCTGCTCTTTTTATTCTTATCTTCAATCAAAATAAAATCAGAATAGACGCAGAGTAAAGCTCATAGCCATCTCTTCTATAATGTCCAAATCTGGCCGTTTAGAGTTCTAGCATCTCGTTATGCGATTTGAGACCTCGAGTAGGTTCATATGATGTTCTATGAAATGCATGTATGCTTAGTTTGAATCCCAAGAGGTTCGGGAGTGAATTAAAACACTTAGTTCCTATTGAAGTGTTGAGTTAGAAGAGTTGACCAAGGTTTGACTTTTAGGTAAACGGACTCGGAATCGGGATTTGAAAGTTCATGTAGGTTCGTATGATGATTTTGGACTTATAGGTATGTTCGGATTGGGTATTGGGTGTCCCTAGAAGGATTTGACACTATTTGTGAAAAGTTGGCAGTTTGAAGAACTTAAGAGTTCAGAAGTCTAACTCAAGTTTGCCTTCTGCTTTATTATATCTTGTTTGGTGTTTTGAGCCTTTGGACAAGTCCATGTAGGGCATTTGGACTTGTAGGAATGTTTGAATGGGGACCCGAGGGTCTCAGGTAAGTTCCGACGCGTTTGGAACAACTTTTGGAAGATTAGAGTTGTTAAAACAGCGCTTTTCTGCAACTAGCCTGACTGTACAAGAGCATATCTCCCAATCTATAAAAAAAATTAAGATGGGTGTTTTGATGAGATTGTAGCCCTTTGAGTCTAATTTCTGGTGATTCAAACCATTTGTCATTCCGACATTTCTACAAAGAGTTATGACTATTTTACTGGAACATAGCAGTGCATATTTATATTTGTGGTTGACATGCGGTAAACATGCAGCCCGCATGTGAATTTTGCAGCCCACGTGTGAGTTTAGTAGAGCCCGGGGGCATTTTTGACAGCATTTTCCAGAAACTATTAAAGGCCGAGTTTTGTGATTTTTCTTTCATTTCCGCACGTTTGGAGCTCGGTTTTGAGAGGTTTTGGCCTAAATCTTCATCAACAAGCTTGGGGTAAGTGATTCTAACCTATATCTATAATTTATAAATGAATCTATCACTAGACTTGACATCAAAACATGTGATTGAACAAGAGAAATTGGAGTTTGTCTAAAACTTCAGAAAATAAATTTTGTGGTTTTGAACACCGATTTAGACTTGGATTTGAAAACTAATTACATATTTGAACTCATGGAGTCATCTGCCAACGGGATCCAACTTTGGACCCGGGTTTTGACCCCGTTAAGTATTGTATGGGCTAGATTGGACTTGATTGATGAATTTGGAGCAAGAAAAGACAGATTTTGAAGAACAGAACTAGCCCGGGATGAGGTAGGTATCTTGTTTAACCTCGACTTGAGAGAATGTATTCTAAAATGGACTTACGTGCTACATGCTATGTGTTTGAAGGTGACATATATGCGAAGTGAAGAGCGTATAAGCGAGTACCAAGGCTATATCATGCTCGCGGTAGACTTTAGGCATCTTTATGCCTTGTTTGGTTGTGTTCTTCTTGACCTATGCATTATTTTATCGTATGACTGCGTGAGCCTATTTATTCATGCTAGAAATTATGTTTAGGCTTATAACATCTTATTTGGACATGATCGCTATTCTTGAGATGGTTGACATACTAGATTTAGCTGTAGTCATACTTTATATCATGAGCACACATCCGTATTTATTATGTCCTTATGCACCTTATTGGTTATTTCTTAAGCATTTGCATACATCTTTGGAGATGAGAACTTGATACGGATTGATATGATTATGGCATATTTGAACATTATGAGCGGATTGATATAGTTATAGCACGAGGTTTATGTCGTGCGGTTATTGTTCTTGCACGAGATTTCTGTCGTGCAGCGTGTGGATACGGATCCATCCCTCTAGGGTCTCCCTCCCATGTTTCTTTGTTGGTGGCCTACACGCAGAGTTTTGTGAGACACTGATGAGTGTCAGATTATGATAGTATTGGTTGATGAGTTGGGCGTAAAAGTGGAAGTTTTGATTACTTAAGTGAATCCTTTACGTCATATCATGCATTCTATAGGCTTTCTGTGCATGTCTTCTAAATATGCTACTTGATGCTCCTTTTACATGCATTCGACATATGCATATTCATATATTTTACATATGCATGGGATTTGTTAATGAGACACTTAGAGGGTGTCAGATTGATGTATATGTTAAATCATCATCATGCATAGACATTTTAGAATTATGTAGGAGCATTNTTTTCAGTGTACTTCTACAGCTTTCTTAGGTCAACTCATGTAACTTTGGTTTATTTTTTTTAAGGATTATTAAGGGGGACCAAAGCATTCAAACATTCAAGCATTCAAACAATTGAGTATCTTTTGACTAAACGTCACCACTATTTCGTTGAGGTTAATCTTGATATTTACTGAGTACATGGGGTCAGTTGTACTCATACTACACTTCTGCACCTTGCGTGCAGATTTTGGGAGTTGAGCTGTTGTGGAAGCCGAAGGCTAGCATTGAAGATGTACCAGTGTTCTAGTTGCAAATTATCATTTTGTTCATGGTAATCTAGAACTCGTATTTCTATTTATGTATATTCCACACAAATGATGTATTTTCTTCACACCAACGGTGTAATCTTATTCTTAGTCGCTCATGACTTATACTTTCAATTCTTGGTACAGTTATATTAATCTTTGAACACTTATCTTATTATTCATTTGATGATCTTCGGTTCGAGTTGTATTTATGTTGGTCGGCTTGCTTAGCTGGTTGGGTTAGGAGCCATCACGATTTCTTTTTGGGATTTGGGTCGTGACAAGTTGGTATCAGAGCTCTAGGTTCATAGGTTCTACAAGTCAAAAGCAAATGTCTAGTGGAGTCTTGCAAATCGGTACAATGACGTTCATACTTGTCTTCGAGAGGCTACGGGACATCTAGGAAACTTCTCTTTCTT